TTGGGAGTTCCAGGAAACCCTGGGAAGCTGAAAGGGTAGGAATGCTGGAAGACAGTCTATACTGCTTTCTTGGAGGGTTTCTAGCTTTCCAAAAGGGGACAAAATTCTCCCCCAAGAGCCAGGGAGGATTCTCCCGGGTCCATGGCCAAGCCTGGCTGAGTTTTTATATATCCAGGGTACTTCCGATCGTAGCTGGCTTCCCACAGCAGGGTCAGGGTGGAACCAGGTGTGCAAGAAACTGTGTGTGCTTTCTAGCAGAGGCACTGAGGCTGCCATTTTCCACCATGTCAAAGAGCCCATCACAACAGGGATAGCCTCACCTGGAACCTGAGCCATGCACCTGCCATCTGTGTCTGAGCCATCTGGACTATCTTCTTTTGAGACATGCCTCTGCTCAGCCCAGTTGGAGACAACCTATGTGCACATCTAAGGAGCAGACACTTACCTATGAGAGCCGATCCCAGAAGGAAGAGCACTGATCTTGTTGTAACGGAGGTCCAGCCATGTCAGGTTGGGCAGCAGCTGGAAGAAATCCTTTGGAATCTCACTGAGCAAATTCCTCTGCAGGTATAATTGCTTCCACTGAAGGGGACCAGAGGATGCTTTGTCAGCCAGTGAAATTTAAAACAGGATGTATCCAAAAACCATCTCCAAAAGGACTAAAACAACCACAACTACATGTCAAACCAAAAAAAATTTACCCTTAAAGAATATAAACAGTAGACACAAGAATCAGAGAGATTTAAAACCCAAAACTGTTTTCCTTTTCCCTCGCCACACCCAGTACCATCCTCACAGAAAACCCAGTGAACAAACAGTAAGAGCCATCACGTCTGACTCATTCCAAGTTGGCAGTTAGGAGGAAGCTATGGGACACAGATGCATTCTAGGTTGGCATAATCTGTGAAGACCAGCTACACAGAAATGAGCCATCACCCAGGTAAGAAGACATGATCCATGTGGCTTGATCTCAACCCTGTAAAATTTTGTCCTGAGTTTGAAACCACAGTGGATACTTGAAACCACAGACAGCACATGAACTGTAAATCTGCACAGCAATAACCAACAATAACCAATAATGCAATAAAATGGTTATAAGAACACATTTTATAAGTTATTAAAACATGATTTGTTCCTGATATTTTCTATTGAACATTCCTGGATAAGAAGAAATATTATATATACTTATATATGAATTATATATGTAATATTTAATATATAATTCATATATATGAAATTTTGTTATTATGTATTACATGTGTGCATGGTGTACATGCATGCAACAACATACATGTGAAAATCAAAAGGCAACTTTGTGGATCCAGTTCTTTCCTTCCACCTGTACATGGGTTCTAGGGACAGAACTCAGGTTGCCTGGCTTGCCTGAATTTTACCTACCTATCCATCTTGCCAGCCCATGTATGTACAATTTTAGTCACACTGTGGTTGGATTATAGGGTATTTTTAAAATGCCTCCATCAATGTTGCTGTAAAAGTAGTATCAAACGCAGTTACACCTATATCCACACTTGTCATGGGGCAACATCAGATGTCTAGAGCACTGACCTTCAAGTCAAGCTGCTTGAGTTTAAATCTATGTTTCAAAAATTATTAGCATGTGACCTTGAGCAAGTTTCTGCATCCCTCTATTCTCCAGTGTCATCACCCGCAGAGTTGGGGTAATGGGGCCTCCCTGGCAGGGTAGCACAGGAAATGTGAGTGTGTCAGCCACAATTGTGTGGCTTTCCTACTCCAGGAGCCAGAGGTAGCTTCCCCTGGTCAGGGTTTCACTGATCCCAATTCTACGGATCCCATCTTCCTAATATAGACGACTTCCAGGTTCTTGAAGAACAGTTATTGGAATCATGGTGTACTGTAAGTATGAAAATAAAACATTTGGGGCTGGAGACATGGCTCAGCGGTTAAGAGCACTGGCTGCTCTTCCACAGGACCAGGGTTCATTTCCCAGCACCCACATGGCAGCTCACAACAGTCTGTAACTCCAGTTCCAGGGGACCCAACACCCTTACACAGGCAAAACACCAATGCATATAGAAATAAATATTAAAAAATAAAATAAAACATCTGTTTGGGACAGGCAGTGGTGGCACAAGCCTTTATTCCCAGCACTCGGGAGGCAGAGGCAGGCGGATCTCTGTGATTTTTGAGACCAGCCTGGTCTACAAGAGCTAGTTCCAGGACAGCCTCCAAAGCCACAGAGAAACCCTGTCTTGAAAAACCCAAACAAAACAAAAAGAACAAAAAAACCCATGTGTTTAGAAACCACCAGTCTCTGCCTGCTGGAAGCTGGCGTTGTCTCTGGAGAGCAAAGTGGCTGTTAGGAGTGCATGGTATGACACACGCCCTTGACTCCATGCTTATGCATATTTTCAAATTCACAGAATACACACTCCACATACAACATGTATGCCTCTATGTAATGCATGTCCCCATTTACATACATTCCCCAGGCACATAAGAATACACATCCACATCTATATATATGTGCCTATCTCCAGACATGTGAGGGTACTATCCCCTTTCCACATGTGTACATGCCTTCTTCTATCAGATGATGGCAGATGTCCCTCCACACAACATGTTTATGCCTGCATCCGACATACGAGGGGACACATGCATGTGTATCTCTGGGCACATGAGGACACAGGTCCTTAAAGACACGTGCATGCAAGTCCCCATCATGACCCTGCTTGGCCCTTTGTCAGAGCGGAGGCTTTAGCCTGCTCGGGCATGCTCTTGTCCTATAAGTGTAAGCTAATCCTAATACTCAAGCCTGGAGACCAGGGTTCCTTCTGAACCCGGGAAAATGCACTTTAGAGAGGATAACTCCCTATCCCTCCCCAGTGATCCTACAAGGCTGGCTCTGCTCTGTCTGGAGTCGGTCATGCTGCTGTGTCCTTCCTCCGAGTTCCAGTGTGAGCAGCATTCTTTCCATGTCCTCTGAGCATCAATGTTCAGGGCATGGAATTTACAACTTCAGGGACTGATTGCTATACACTTGCAAAATGCAGCCCATAACCCCCAGTGGTCTATAGCTCTGGGTAGTTATTACCTCACTGATTTTTTTTTTTTTTCTCGAGACAGGGTTTCTCTGTGTGGCTCTGGCTGTCCTGGGACTTGCTCTGTAGACCAGGCTGGCCTCAGACTCTGAGATCTGCCTGCCTCTGCTTCCCAAGTTCTGGGATTAATGGTGTATAACACCACCATTTGGCGGATTTTTTTTTTTTTTTTTTTTTTTTTGCCTTAGTAATACATCCATAGCAACACCTGCCTTTTCAGCTAGTGTCTGGGTTAGACCTGAAGGACTTTGGAATTTCCTCCTTCCTTTTTGAATAAAGGCAACGGATACCTCACAGCTTAGCTGGACTCATGGGAATGGAGGGCATCACTTCTTAGCGAGTGCCATGTGAATAGGTCCCTGTTATTAAGAGTGCACCCCTGGAGGCTGATGGTAATAACAGCCAGACACAGGCCAGGAAGACTGTGAATCTGAGGCCAGTTTGGGCCACATAGCAAGACCATGTCTACAAAAAAAGAAGGACGAGAGTGTTAGGTAGCTCCCGTGCCTTGAGAGCAGACATGGCCAGAGTGGATGAACAGCTCACCTCAGTGCTGTGACGTCCCTGACAAGGTCTTGATGTATGTTACTGTGTCATCATCTTACAACAGACCACAGTAATATTTCTAGGTTCCAGATGAAGCTGAATGCAATTTAAAGACATTCCATGACACAAGGGCAGTGCCAGTATGCTGGGGGATCCTCTACCCTGCCTGCCATCAACACTACTTACTCCAGAAAGCATGGGGACAATGAAACATGAGTGTCCTGAAGGAGGGCTGACACAAAGGAAACCGTGTCAGTGTATAACATCAGCAAAATCCAAGACAACAAGAGAAAGCTTCCTTTTTCACAGTCCCCAGGGTCTGCAGAAGAACACGTGTTTTAAATCAGAGACCCAGACTGTTTGGGCAGTGGTCTCCACCCAGGCTGATCTCAGCCTGAGACTTTCCCATGAAGAAAGACAACCCTCAGGGCAGAGAAGGCTGCCCTATCTTTATACCTGGCTCTCTTTCTATTGCCTGGCACCGCATCTCAATTGTTCTTTGTTGTGGTCAGCCTATGAAACCCCAGTTAACTCTCCTGCTCCTACTAGAATTCACCTCTCCTGACAAGAAGGACAAAAGCTCAGTGCTGACTCTGTTTCTGGCTGCAGGCATCTCTGTACCACACCCTCCCAGGAACCCGGCACTTACTTTAAGGTTGGGAATTTTAAAGAAATCTCCCAAATGGCACAGGCCTCTTTGACTCAGGTCTAAAACTGATGAGGAAGAGAAGGTGACTCCCTCAAAACCTGTTTCATTAGCATCTCTGGAAAAGGAACCAGTTATGCCTTTGACAACAGCATCATCCTCGGGATCATTGGCAGCTTCCTCGGCCACTGCATAGGTGCTGGTGTCCTCCATTTGATGCCCTGCAGTGGCCACTGCTTTCTCATCCTTCTTGGTATGGAGTCACCTGGAGACAGGAAGGGGGGGGGAGTCCTAGCAACCAGAAGTCACATGGGCAGGGCACATTTGCAGGGGCTTGATTTCCTGAAAAGGCAACAGTACAGTGAATTTGACTGTTAAACTTGTAAATATTGGGACACAAGAAGAATATTGGTTAAACTCTTTGCTCCTCACACTGTACCACAAAATTTAAAGGAAATGATGATTATGATCAGAGGAGGAGGTTCAAGTAGCCCAGGCTGGCCTCCAACTCACTGTGGTGAGCTTTGAATTCCTAATCTCCTTGCATCTACCTTCAAAGTGTTGTGATTATAAGCAACTATACACCTGGCTACAATTTAACTATAACTGGAAAGTACCAGTTAAACAGCATACTAGGATAAAAACAGACCTTTAAAGTTTGCAAACCAACTTCGAAAGAGGAAAGGGTTTCTGATAACCCTGATTCCCACTTCTATCCTGGTTCTCTGCTCCCTGTGTCCAAGACCCTGAAGTCAGGAAGCCAGCTCTCTGCTCCCAGTCTGGCTCAAGCCAGATCAAAGAGGTGGGCACTGGGGAAAACCTAGGCAATGTCAATCTTCCATCTTAGTTCAAAAATCCTTTTGCTTAGTCTGAATATACTTTCAAAACAATGCTAGCAAAGACCATGACTGGAGTGCTTAATAAGATTTGAGATCATCTGTCAGCTAGTCAGCCTAAAGACTGGCACACGAGCCTAAGTGTCACTCTCCTTTAAAGAGAAGATAACTTTTCAGTTAAGGAGCTGGCCTCAAAGGTGTACAATTCATGGTGAGCCTAGATGAGCGCCCCCCCCATCCGGAATGGGGCTCCCTAAGGTCTCCAGTCCTTTGCACAGTCTATGGCTTTTATTTCTGTTTTTTCTTCTTTTTTTTCTTTACCCTACACCTTGGAATTAGGAGATAAGTATTCCGCCTCCAACAGATTACATTGTAAGGAAAATGTGTTGGCAAGTGGGAAAGGGGACTAGTGGTGCGGTTTCCACACTGGGGCTGTGTTAGGCGGCACTCCACATCTGAGCCTCAACTTCTGCCCTCTGGGGGAGGGGGCAGCCACCGTAGAGAGTCAGGGGACCAAGTCATAGTCGTCTCCCACCACCGCGCTATCAGAGGCCAATGTTCAAAGGACCCCAAGCGTGGATACGGTCCTGCCCATCAAACCCGGAGTTCACGCCTTCCATCCCGGTGGCCCCGCCCCACAGCCCGGTGGCCCGTCCTACATCGCGCAGTCAGGAGCTCGCTCCCTTCCAGTCCGGTCGCGCCAGCGATGATTGACGCCGCAGGACCCCACCCTCTTCCCTGCGAGCCTCCTCCACGCCCACCTGTGACTCCGCCCCGGCACGCCGGCTGCCCCGCCTCCGAGAGGCTCAGGCGCAGTCTAACAAAGGAGACGCGCGACACACGGTCGCCATGGTGACGCGGCTGCGGTACGGAGGCCCGAAGGCATCAAGCCGCCCGGCGGAGGTGGGGTGGCTTCGCTACGCGTGCGCTTACGGCCTCTTATGCTGGCGGTGGGTGACAAGGCTAGGAAGAGACTGCGAGAGGGCAGGCGGGTGGATTCGGGGAGGGCTTCGGGACCCGAAGGAGATCGAGCGATTCTTCTGCTGACCAGACCAATGTCTTCCAGGGCAATGGACCCTCCGGGAGCAGGCTGCCCGGAGCTGACCGCTGCCCTCCGCACCTGCGCAGAGGCAGCAGCCGGTGCAGGGTTTGAGGCAGAAAAGTGTCCCTGTTGCAGCCGGGCCTGGTTGGGTGCAGACCCTCCGAAAGTGGGAACTTGGAGGCTGCCCCTACCCATTTAGAAATCTGCAGGGCAGCGCATTCTGGGGGGTGGCAGGTCAACCAGATCCACCCCCCCCCAAACCACATCATGCTCTAGAGAAAAGGGACCAAGATAGACAAGAGAGATTACCAGAACATAGTGAGCTGCCTTAAAACCAGATCTGGTGGGGGATAGAAGCTCTGTTGAGGGTCCCCGAAGGTCCTGAGCACTGATGTGATGACACTTCTTTCTGGAGGCTGGAACTTGAGATCTTAGAAAGTCCCACCGTTTTTAATGAGTAATATGTCACACACAGGACATCATGACACGTGATCAAATCTACTGGAAACCACCGGCAATGAACTGGTCTGGACAGTGGGGTGTGCCCCCAGCTATCGTGCACATTGATGTAATTTTGCCAAACATTTTTGAAGCAGCAAAAGCAGGAGCTGTACCGAAGGTGTAAGATGGAACCAAAGCGGAAGTCTACAGCTAAAAAACAAAAGATACAACAGCAACAAAATTGATTTATTCGGGTCAGCAAGATGGCTCACTGGCTGAATTCACTGAGCGAATTCTTAGAACCTAGGTAAAGGTAGGAGGAAACCAATTCCACAAAGTTGTCCTGTGGCCTCCACACATGAACTGTGGTAACACTATATATATTTGCAATAATACATTAAATAATAGTTTTTCAATTCGTTTATTAGCAGATAGATGACTTAGAACTGCAGGTGAGACGGGGATTTTAAAAAATCCTCAAACAATAAAATGATAACACTTAGAAAACTTAAGAGCTGTGGGAGTCCAGTGGTATGTGTGTAGCTGGGGGTCATCTGACCAGCTGTCTTCAGATGTCCTATCAACATGGCAGAGATGGAACCCGGCAGCTGGATTTCTATTTGGTTATATGTTGGTAAAGGTTGGGCCAAGAGGTGTTGAGAGGAGCTTCAATAGGCAGAGAAGGCGGGCCATTGCAGCCTGGGCACACCTGCCATCCGAGAGCCCTTTCTGTTGGCTCAGTCAAGTGAAGTGCTTAACACACACACACACACACACACACACACACACACACACACGTGTGTGTGTGTGAGCCTGTGCGTGTGCACCTGAGCTAGGTCCCAGAATACACTGGAAAGGTTAGGTACAACAGAGTGTGCTTGTAATCCCTGCTCTTGGTAGGCAGACAGGTGGGTTCTCACCAGTCAATCAGCCTAACTCACTTTCCACCAGGCCACCGTGACCCTGTCTCAACAAGAAACAAGGTTGACAGCTTGTGAGGAATGACATCTGAGGTTGACATTCAACCTTCACACATGTACCTATACCCGCCCCACACATGTATATGTTCCAGCTACTAGGAAAACAGAATTTTACCTCACATTGGACATTGTATTATACACATTTGATGGGTAAAATGAAAAGCTTGGTGTAATGTCCATGTGCCGACAATCACAGGGTCCCCGTGCTGGGAACTGGTGTCCACAGGCACCTTGTGGAGCCACTGTGAACCCCAGCACAGCACCATCTGAGCCTGTTGCCTCTTCCTACTGTTGTCGTTTTTTTGGTTTCACTTAAAAATCCACAGAATTGGTTTTTGTATTCAATAGTTAATTATATGTAGGAACTTATTTTGCCTTTTTTTCTTTTGTGCTCACTCATTATCTAGCTAAAATGCCTCTGTTGAGTAGTTCTCTTGGCAACTGTTTCTGGGCTATTCTCCTTAAGCTTATGAATGTACCCTCTTTATTTTCATCTAATTCTTGAATGACTGTTTAGCTGGTGCAGAGTTCCCTGGTGACGGCAGTTTTCTATCAGAATTTTAAAGATGTTAACTTGCTGGCTGCTGTTGAGAAGGCTGCTGCCAGCCCCACTGCCATTTCAGTGAAGGAATCTGTGTCTCCCATCCCCATCCTTGCTCTGAAACCCCATTCCTGTGTCTCTAAGCGCACACTGGGTGTCACTCTACCTGGCAAAGCCTGTGTCCTTTGTTCAGGCTTTTCCCAGCCTTTTGGGTCATCTCATTACTTGTCTACACTCTGACATTAACTCACAGTGGGAATTCCTCACTGTGTCCCCTCCCCCTGGCTCAGAACTGTCCTTCCTGAGAGTTACCCATCTCCATCCTTACGGGCTGTCTGCCAGCCCACTAAATCTTTCCACTAGGGTACAGTTTGCTTCAGTTGTTGAGTTTCTCAAGTGACCTCATTTTGCATATCTAATTCTCTGTCTCTCTCTCCTCTCTCCCAGTAACAAAACACACACACACACACACACACACACACACACACACACAACCTCAGGTACACACATGAGGTTGGAGGACAACCTCAATGTCATTCTTTAAGTGCCTTCTCCTTTTTGTGTGAAACAGAGTTTCTTATTGGCCTGAAAGGTTGCCACATAGGCTAGGATAGCTGTCCAGAGAGCTCAAAGGATCCACCTGTTCCCTCCCATTTTGCTATCACTGGAAACATAGGTGCACACCATTGCACTTAGCTGGGATTTATTTATTTATTTATTTATTTATTTATTTATTTATTTTGGTTTTTCAAGACAGGGTTTTTGGAGGCTGGCCTGGAACTAGCTGTTGTAGACCAGGTTGGCCTTGAACTCACAGAGATCCGCCTGCCTCTGCCTCCCAAGTGCTGGAATTAAAGGCATACACCCATACACCACTACCACCTGGCTCGAACTTAATTTTTTATGTGGTTCTGGGTATCTGAGCCAGACATTTGTGAAGCAAGTGCTTTACTGACTGAGCCATCTCCTCAGCCCAATATTCAGAACGTATAGTAAAATAATTCTACAATTCAGTAAGAAAAATATGATAATATATCTGGGTTAATCAATAAAACAGTAAGAACCAAAACTTACAATGCAAACACAATTATATATAATATATTTATTATGTTGTATTTATAAATATTTATATATTGCTGTATATAATATATACACATACACTATATATATGCACATATGTATATGCACCTCCTTTCCAGCTACTAGGGAAATATAACTTTCCTCAAACCTGGATGTTGCCAGGTGGTGGTGGTGCTCGCCTTTAATCCCAGCACTCAGAAGGCAGAGTCAGGAGGATCTCACTGAGTTTAAGGCCAACCTGGTCTACAAAGTGGGTTCCATGAAAGCCAGGACTGTTGCAGAGAAAACCTGTC